TTCCTCCTTCAAGGTGAAAAAGCTCTGTGACTAGGGAAGATTCTTGAGATGACTATGCTGTGTGTTTATAAAATATTCTGGAAGCTGTCTCACAAGTTTAGTGCAGTCGATATTAGTTTAAATTGGTTAAACTGGATTCAAGACAGTAGGTGTAATCTTAGGTCCTTGACTTGTAGAGGTGACACATTGATCCCGAGGGAAAATAAACCAGCTCTACAAACCTAGTGCACTTCTGGTCATTCAGAAAGCTAGTTCAGTGGACACTGCACCTTGCATAGATGAAATACGGTTAGCGAAAGATCTGTGGAGACCACACCGTGTATGTTTGTACATGGATCTCTGTGAGCACAGAAAAAAGACTTACATATGAATATGAGTCTAAATATGTTTAAAAGTAGATACCAACACAGTCAAATGGTTCATAATGGGTCAAATAAGTACCCTACAAGAAATAAGAAAATTCTGGGAAATAAAAGATAACTCTCATGAAACGTGGTGACTTAACGTCCATCTGTAAATAACTGACTACAAATCTTGTCTTTAAAAGGCCATTTCAAAGGAGTAATAAGTAGGTTCTGTCACAGGATGATAATGCAAAGAAACTGAATAGAGTACAGTATTCTGCACAGGTATAAGATCTGAATGTGCTGAGTACATTAAGATCCATTGAGTACATTAAATAATTTTTATTTTTTTTAATGTCCCTGGACAAAATAAGAATGAAACTTTTATTTGCTGTATCTTTTTAAAAAAATGTATGCAACTGGATTAATTAATTACCCTGAGAATTTTAGTTTATTCACAAATCAAGGTAGGAATCTTTGAATCAAAGATGTTTTTCTGTCTTTGTAAAGCAATATTTCCCTACTTCTTTTGTTGTATTTTAGAAAAATCATGTTTCTTTTTCAAATGCCTTTTTATTTTATTTTTTTAAATTATAAAATGATTACATGTCTCATTTTCAATAGAATAGACAAATCTCTTTTTTCCTTCCGAGGTGTCTGCAGAATGCTTGGATTTTCTACATCTCAAAGCTCTTTTAATTCACTGCTCACAACCAAATTTACATCTTAATTGCTGAGTTCACATTTAACAATATAGACAGCACAATGCTACTGGTAATTAAGCTTTTACTACCTGCTTTTGTACAGTATTCTTAGGCACAGTTTTTGCTATGTGAGTTCTCCACTAGAAACTGGTATGCATTTAGACCACAAATAAAAGGCATCAGGCCCATATCTTAGATATGGCTAAATACATGGCAGGGAAATTGCTTTCTTCTGTTGGGGGGACCAAATCATATCTGGCATTTTTATATTCTGAATGTTAATGTGGCTGTTCTAGTTTAGTGTTTTGTTTTTTAAAGGCCTAGAACATTTGAGAGGCTGAAAGACCGAGTTGAGTTGTGATCTAGTAAATTTAACACAGACTGGATATCTCAACTAATTTATTTTGATCTCAAAGATTATACTATTTATATCATGTAGGACTAATATGCAGTAGAGCTGAATTATATCAAAATTTCGGGTCATAAGGTAGCAGTTATCTCTTTGCCATAAATAGCTGGTAGCTATTCCATTGTACATTTGCTAGTATAAAAAAAAATCCTGTATTTAAAAATAGGACTTAAGAAAATTCTTTGTTATATGGAAACTAAAAACAGGCTTATACACTGTTGGAGAAAAAAGACCCTTCTCTTATATTCTCTTTCCTTTAAAAAGCACTTCTGTTTGAAACTAGTCCTTATAATGACCAGACTGTGTGATGATTTACAAAATGTTTCTGGGTTGATTTTTTAAAGCATTCAGCGTGTGTTATATGTTATAATTATATAAACTGCATTTTATTTGAAAGATGATGTTTGGGGTAAAAATCATATATACTTGTATATGTCTCCCAGTTTGGAAGCTTACATTGAAATAAGTATATGATTAAGAACACTTTTAGTACACCAGTTAGTAATGCTCTCCCTACAAAAAAAAAGAAAAAAGAAAAAAGAAAAAAAAGAAAAAAGCAGTCTTTATTTTGTCAAAATGCATTGAGACGGTTTCAATGTACTACTTACCCTATGGCCCTCAGTGTCCCACCCCTGAAACTGGAGCAGCCAATTTGTTCTGCAGTGGTTTACCTTTGTTTTGAAAAGCTATGCATTGTATATCTATAGGTAGAGAGACAGAAGCAGGTAAAGAAATGTTTACACATAGAATTTACATAGGCATTCTCGCAAATTGCATTGAGGCACGCTTTCCTCTTCTGTAGTTGTGTAAAACTGCATTCCACCTCAAAGATGACGATCCCACTTCACATGCCCGAACAATTTAGAAAGCATGTCTTGGATTTTTTTTTTTTTTTTTTTTTTTTAATGCCCAGTAGGGATCAGGGAAACAGGCAACGACATGAGGACGGATCAATGAGAAAGTACAGCACTAAATAAGAAGGAGCCCCCTCCCGTGGAATAAAACACAGACTACGGCAGGACAAACTTCATTCTCTACCTTCCGCAGAATCCTTTCCCAAATTAACTGAGAGTCTGCGTGAGTTCTTCTGTGCAAGGCAAAAGAGATCTTAGGTGAGAAACCCAAGACACATCCCTCCAGTGCTTAGAGGGTTAAATTAGTTAGGTTTCTTTTCTCGCTTCCCGGGGCGGGGGGTGGGGGGAGGGAGAAAAAAAGATAAGGAAAAAAAAAAAAAGAAAAGAAAAAGAAAGAAAGAAAGAAAAGGCAGAGCCCGGTATCTACGGGCAGCGTTTCGGTCTCCGGTCCTCGCTCTCTTTTTCTCTCCCGTTCCGTCGCCAGCCCCTTCGCGTCTCTGCACCCTCCGTACCTGCCTGCTTCCGCGGCGCCTCGCAGCCTCCAGTCGCCTCCGTCCTGATTGGGCGGAGACCCCCCAATCGGCTGCGCGCCTGGGCCGGTGGGACTGCATATGTTAAGCTCTACTTCATATTAATAAGCTCCAATCGGGGCTTTAAGTCCTTGATTAGGAGAGTGTGAGAGCTCTGGTCCCAACTGGCTGTGCCTATAGGCTTGTCACCAGGAGAACATTTGTGTTAATTGCGCTCTGCTCTGTCAAGGAAACTTTGATTTATAGCGGGGGTGCGCAAATAATGGTTGCCGGTCGCACATGGATTCGGTAGAACTTTGCCTTCCTGAATCTTTTTCCCTGCACTACGAGGAAGAGTAGGTACCTTTTTCTTTCCTTTTTAAAACTCGTCCTGGGGGTGAGAGTGTGGGGTGAACGGAATGGATCTTGGCGCACGGATTCAGGTAATGCCCTGGGTATGTCGTGCGCACGAGCGCTTGTTTGTGTCTGTCTTGTGCCTTTTGTGTTGAGGGTGATCTCCTAATTCAGTAAGTCGAGAATTGTTCTCTGACTACAGTGTTACCTTTGAGGCAAAGCTCAGTGACTGTCAGTAAAACAGCTGGGTGACAGTCACTTCTTATTCAGGTGCTAAGAATAGGCACTTGGCACAAATGCTTAGTGAACTGTTAAAATGCATCTTTTACTAGGACCCATTTTCCCAAGGAAAAATCTTTTAAAATACAGGATTCAAAATGATTTATACTATTGAGTGCCTCTTATGTATTTGCAGTTTGACAGATATTTTCAGCTCCCTGTCATTTCTTACCGCGCAGAGTTAGAGGCAAAATTGCATATTTACTAATTCTCCTTCAGATAACAATTTAAAAACTAGCCCTGTGCAATCCGGGGCTAGAATAATGTTATTTGCATGGTTAGCATTAAGTCAGCACTTAACTGACAAATCAGTCCATTAAGTAACATGAGATTTTAACACATTATAAATATTTAAGGGGAGGAAAAAAAACTAAGGAAGAAACAGTAGTGTCTTTCTAAATTTCCCCTTGAATAGACAATGCTGAGATTGTGGATTTGTTTCGTGTATCGTGTCCAGAAAATGCAGAAAAGTACTTTTGTCCTTAGATGCAGTTTAATTGGTATTTATTAATATCTTTATGCACATGGAAATATACATATTTGGATCGCTCAAGGTGGGGGACATGTGAGTAGGGGGTAAAAGGAGTAAATTAGGCATTCTTGTGTAAATGAGTGGGTCATAAACTTAATTTCAACCCACCGTTGAAATATTAGTTTATCACGGGAGCTGTCACTGGTTCCTCTTTCTGTTGAGTCAGTTGTATGGCTTTGCTTTCCCATTACAGTAATACCAACTGTTATAATTCTGAAAAGAGTGCTCTTGGCAAACGTTTCTCTCTATAGATTGTGAAGAAAATATAAAACTCTCCAGAGGAGAGGGTCGTGCATTGTAGGTAGATGTCCACCAGCGGTCCTTAGTGACTGCATATTGCCTTGGTTTGTAATTAAGCAAGAGATGAAAAGTGACTTGCAGTCTCAGTGGCTCCTCGTGTGTGTGAGTGTGAGTGTGTGCGCGCGTGTATGTATGCATGCTTGCACACATACACACTCACACAAGGGATATTAGCCAAGGGATGGACTTAGGAAGAACTGAAAGGTTGGAAGGCAGTGCTTGCGTCAGTAGTAAATACTCCAAGGAAGAAACAACCTTAAATTGTGTGAAAATATAAATGAAAAATAAACAAAGGTAGGACTGCCCACTCAAGTGAAGTTTGAAGGTGAGTGCGCTGGAGGCTGTCCCACTGGAGAATTTCATATGTCTTCATGTCAGGAAGAATGCATTATCCAAGCTCACCCAATTCTGAACTTTCTCTCATAAATAAATAAACAAAACAAACTTTAACCCCCACCCCCCACCCCCGGGCTTCTTTGTAGTTTCCTCCAATTTAACTTCTTATAGCTAATTTGAATAATTAGTTTAGATAAGCCTCTTAAAGCAGACACATTTAAATGAAATCAGGACACATGTCCTTTTGGCTTTGGCGCAAGATTCAAACTAGCTTTCTTTTTGGCTCAATTAAAAGTCATCTTTAAAAAATACAGATTTATTGTTTGGATGCAGTTCTGATGGTTACGTGGTTCACCGGACAGACAGAAAGATCTCATGCTTAGTAACGCATCTGCCTCTCTGTCTCAATTAATAAACCACAGAATTTATACATGCTATTAATATTCATAGTAAAGTGTGCCGGGTTAAACCCCATCACGTGTGAGTATACATTGAAATGAAACCAGAGTTATGCAGTTTCAGGGGAGAATATTGGACAATTTCTGCTTTGGAAGCTGTTAAAAAGATTCATGCAATTTATTGGCCACCATTAGGAGAGCCTAAAATGTTAACCTATAACTATGTATTTTTTATTTTAGGAAATGTGCCAGCACATTAAAGAGCATAATACTTGAAAGCTTGTTTCACATTTAATAGCAGTAATAACTGATAGCATAAATAGATGAAAATAATATATCTGCTCATTTTGACATATGTGTCAGTCTAATCATTCTAAATGAGTGTGCTCATCACATGATTCCCTTTCAACCTCTGATTAAAATGTAACATTGACTACAGGATTATAGAGCGGACTTAATTTTACTGACTGTTTTAACAGTTGTCACAGCTGCTGGAAGAAGGAAAGGCAATTGAAACACTCCAAAACAGGCAAGGCGAGGAGGGAACAGTTCAGTAAATTTCAGCCTGATCATGGAAAGCCAGACATCCAGAATTAAACAGATTTGTGTTTTAAGATTCCTGTTTGGAGCGATGCAAGTTTTATTTTGTAAGGTTTCCTCTTTCTTTTTCAGGGTTTTGCTTCTTTTCTCTGGCTCATCTCTCCCTGTTAAAAGCTAAAAGTAAATTGAAATACAACTATCCAAAAGTAATACTATAATGTCAAAAAATACATGGGATAAAAATAGGCAGGAAGGAAAAATGTATGCAATGACAGCAACAACAAGAAGCCTAAACCAGAGTGGATGCAATTGTTTTTAAAAAGATGGGAGCTTGCCTAAGTCACTTCAGATGTGATTTTATTTGAGAACTATGGACAGAGTCTTTATTTTTCTAAGAAGGAATCCTTAAACTCCAGACTTGGAGCTCATATTACTTTTCCTTCCTGTTTCTTTTCTGTAAATCTGTTGAAAACACCTGCAGCCTTAAAGGTAGGGGTTTTCAGATGATTTCTTTGTGAATTGCTGGAAGTGACAACCAGCTGCACTTAGGGGTGAGTGTTCCTAGGCTGTAGAGTCTCGTAACCTTGCCCATCACATCACTAAAGTGAACAGATTAATTCTATTTCTCTAAAAATTAAATAACTACTGTACATATCCCAAACTATATATAGTCGAAATAGCCAGACAGTGTGGATTATGTAACGTATGATTTTTCTCCTTGGAGTAAGCAAAAAAAGTGTTCTGAGTTAATGGAATCAATGTTGGATGGGAGTGGTAAGTGCTGGGCACCCCATGCTTCACTAGCCCTTTGTGTCAGTGTATTTATGTATTACCCTGTACAGATTGGGTGGTAAGTTTAGAAAGCCTCCTTTTACAGAAAGGGCTGGAAAACAGCTCCCCATTTCCTGGTCCAGAGGCAAGGGTGATGGCGTTGGCTGGTTCTTATAGCGATGGGTTTCTCATCTTCATGTGTTTATGGCACTGCTGCTTTATTTACTGAGCCTAGTGTGTTGCAGCGGTAATTAACCCATGTTATTAGCAAAGCCCTTGTGAATATCCATTAATTCTCTTGCATGGATGATCATTTTTCCAGTGTTTTCCCCCCAATACGGTATCATTGTTCTTTTTTCTTTTTTTTAAATTCTAAATTGATGGCCTTTGATATATTTATTTGATCTAATCTGACCTGGGATGTATATTGGCCATCTTATAAAGAATGGTATTGTAATTCAGCTTTAAGAAATGCTAACAGAAGCCAGAGGAAAGATTTTTTGCTGTTCTTTTCAAAGCAAAGAAGAAAATAAAGGCTTAAAAAGAAAATAATGCAGGAAATTAGTTTTAACTTCAAATTTTCCAGATCTTAGAATTTATGTTATTTTGTGCCTTTGAAGTCTTTTAATCAGATTTCTACTGAGTTAAGAATACTTTAGGCATTTTTGTAAAATATCGAGCCAGCAGAAAAATACTTGTGCTTCTTGTGCTGAAAAAAGATAAGGACCATCTCATTAGCTGGGGCCATACTTTTGCAATTAATTTTAGGTCCGTGGTGCTATTCATCAAAGGGGGCAGGTAACTTCTCTATGAGTCTGTTTAACAATATTTTCACAATACCTCACTCTTGCAAGAACTGCAGACAAAGAAGAGGACGTTCTTTGGGAAGGTAGGCATAATGCCGAACCTCAAGTCTGTATCACTTGTGAAAAATTCCTCAACATTTGTTTTAGCCTAGTGACTAAACAAAGTATTTCTTTGTTTGACTTCTAAAGTGCTCTTCAGCACTCAATGTTTTGCTTATATTATTTCATAAAATAAATTAAAATCTGTGCTTATGGTCGATACTTTGTCATACAAGTGGCAATTGATAGCCGTGATTTCTATGACACCAATTAATATCAAATAAACTTTTGAGAATCACCTATCAAGCATTTTGAAATAAGAGGACAGCATCTCACTAGAACTTTAAAGTCATTGCAGCAGATAAGCTATGCTCTGAATTTTGCTTCATAGCAAATTCATGGAAGAAAGAAACAATACAGTGTTGATCTGGTATAAGTGCATATGAGCTCTGGCCCTAGTCAGCTCTCTGGAGAAAATCTTTGATTACCCTGGCCCAGTTTGTTCAGTTTTTATCTCTTTTACATCCACTGGCCTTGTATTAAATTGTCATTGTCCTTAAAGCACATGAGATAGAAATGAATTGCTGTTTTCTACATTCTCTGACAGTGAAATATTTAGGTTCTTTTTCTCCAGTCATACTTATGTGTGTACTTGGTAGTCCAGGGATGACATCCAGCATCTCTGCTGCTTGACATTTTTTCTTACTGCATTTTGTATGTTTTGCTGTTGATTATTGTTTTCATAGCCATGTGTATATGGATGTCCACAGTCTATACCTTTATAAATAAAGATACACATACACTACTTTAAAATCCAAAGCAGTCAATAGAATATACCACGCACACGTGTGTGCCTTTGTGTGCATGTATAGTATGCATGTGAAATACATATATATACACGGGAAGAGGTATGTATGTAGAATATAGGTATGGTGCTGAGAGTGTTCATGTATATTTATATAATAAAGTGTATTTTAAGTAGTTTTCTAATCAGTAAGTGT